CAGCAACTGAAGTGCTTGGGGTTAGCATGTGGCAGGAGCTGTGGGTGTGAGCAGTTCGACTCATTCTCAAATAATCTGTCTAGTCTGTCGATGAAAGATCCTGTGACATGTTTTTAAGAGTAGCAGTTAGCTCTGCTTCATCCTGGCTGGCATGTTCACAAGCTCCTCGGGGTGCTGTTACAGTCTAATATTGTTAAAAGCTTTGAAACCTCTCAAGCAGAACCCCCACTGGAGCCGTGGGGAATTCTTCATGGCCAGCACTTGCAGGATCATGCCCATGAATGTAAAGCATTTTAGGATTCCCCGGGAAGAAACCATAACCCTCAGAAGGGTTTCACATTAATATTCAAAAAGCATACATATGGTTGCAGTTTACAAAATATTTCAGGGGAAATATAAATGGAAAAAAGTTGTTTTCCTTTTTTTTTTTTTTTTTAGATTGGGTGTACAGTTAATAAGCAAAATCCTTTCTGATCCTGGACAGATCTGTTAGCCTTGTGCAGCAGTGGGCAGAATGCCTGAGGCAGTGATGGAAGTGCTGGGTGCAGGCTGGGTGCGCTGCAGCCAACTCCTCTCACTCCTCCCTTCCCAGAAGAGCAGCAGATACTTGGCAGCCCCGAACTTCCCTGTCCAGATTCTGGTTAGTGGCCAAAGAGTAATAACACACCTAAGTCAGGCAGGCACAGATACTCTAAGACTGCTTAGCCTCTTCTTGATTGTAAGCTGTCTGAGTACAAAGCATACCCCGTAGCAGAGCATCTTAGCCAAAGGCCTGTGGGCAGTGCAAAGACTAATAAAAGAAGTAAGGCCACCCTGAGTGAGCACACTTGTCATGTGTGATACACCTAACTGCAGGGAAGTGGTATAAGTTTCTTTATCCCATTAAAAAATGTTTTAATGATTATTTCTAACCCTCATGTCTCTAGTTGCCTTCAAATGTCTGAGTGAATTCCAGCTGACTCAAATATTTCTGCAACTTCAGAAAGCTGGAGCTGATGTAGAAACCATTACACTTTCCTCAGAGTAGCTGCAAGATCTTCAATTCCCATGCTATGTAGGAGCCAGTGGCTTTGAAACAAATACATCACCTTGAGAACCTCTCCCTGCCATGGCCAAAGATAAGTAACATACCTGCTTCAGTGACAACACCTGAATGTTTTCAGTAAAGTCTTTGTTTTCCTAGTTAAGAATGAAAAATGTACCTGAAGAGTCATAAACTCTCTTCTTGTATTATCAAGCATCACTTTGTGCTAGTGGAGGCAGGTTTGCCTTTTAGTACACCAGCAGCCTCATCTGTAAAGTGTTGTAATAATATTTACTCTCTTCTCAAGGGCATTTTGAGAGTTAGTTGGTACTTTGAGGAAGCAGTTTAAGAGTTTGCATTTACTGCCAGCAGTATCTATATTCCACAAAACAATATAGCAATGGAAACATTTGGATTTTTTTCCTTATTTGCGGGGAGCTATTTCTGCTTTTCAGCTGATAAATGACTTATAAGATAACTAACATAAATCCCTGCAAATACATGCCATTTATGGTCTTAAATACATGCAGAGTTTTGTCATCCTAAAGATAAATACACCACTTGAAAAGGGAGCATCCCAATCACATCTGACCTGTTATATAGATAAAGTCAATGGTGTCTGCAATTACTGTGAGATCTATCAATTCAAACCAATCTGTTCTTAAAGACAAATCATGCATAAACTCAAGCTAAGTAGTGGTCTCCTATGATTCTGGTTCATGCTGTGCTGACAAACCCTCATAAAAGCAGATAAACTGTATCAAGAACTAATTAAGGACAGGGTTTTTTGCCTCCTTTGCATGAAATTAAGTAACAGTATTCTGGGAAGAACTAAAGGAACAAAATCCAGTGTATTTTTTCTTATTCATACACAAGACTTGAAATAATGTCTCAGATTTTTCTGAGGCTTCAGTTATTGTATGTAACTCTGGGGTGTGAATCCCAAAAGTGAGCCATACCCAGCAGGAAATGAAGATTTCTTATTTCACCAAGTTATTTTGGCTGATTAATTCAGGGTGGGACCATTTAGAAAAATAAGCCTACATTATTCTTTATGGAATTAAGAATAAAATCATTGGCTTCCCTTATTAACATGTTTATTTCGTTTTGTTTATTTTTCAGTAGACACACCTTGTTCATGCTTTAGGTAACAATATAGTACCTGATCATTTACTTGAGTAACCTTCATCATAGCAAAACAACAAACACAGATTGGAAAATACCTGTGTATTAATCTACTACTTGATGCCTCTAATGGATTAGACTTTGTCCCAGGTATATAGGGCTCTGTCATTCCTCCAAGTCATTTGTTGGTAAAGTACTTTATAAACACAGAATGATACCTGGATTTAAAATTTGCATAGTTCCAGTAATTATATTGATTTAAACCAGTTGAATGTGTCTCAATATTTGAGGACTTTCTCCTCTACACTTGCCTAACAACAAAAGAATTATCTTAAATATGAATTTGTAGGAATATTGCCATATTCACTGAAAGTAGTTGTCAGAAGATGTTCGAAGAGTGTATGAAAGGCTGTGGTTAAAATTAGCTTTGATCAGAATCAAATCTCCATCTAATTAATGTAATGATGTATATTACATGATAGTGAATGTTAATCTTTTTGTGAAGACAAGGTAAAACAATAACAGTGTTTTTTTCCATTTCTAGAACTCGCACTCTGAAGATCAAAACTTAGGCATAACAATATCCTCATGTACTAATGCCATGCCTATTTACAGAACTGAAAGAAGAGTCACATGAACTGTTATTGCTAGGGTGGCTTTGCATTCACAGTGAGGCTTCAAGAAAGTAGCTAAATCACCTTCCATAGAAACATTTTTATTTTTTCCACTGGTTTCTATTGTAATGCATTTCTCAAAAGATTCAATATGTTTTTCTTCTTTATGCTGAGCTTTAAAAAATATTTTCCAACTTATTTTCACTTGAAATAAATATTTGTCTTCTGTCATGGAATATTGTTTCCTGCAAAGAAAAGCCGCTGTCTTCTTTCTGCTTTTACGCCCTCTGTCTCTTTTTGACATTTATCTAAAATGACTCCAGTGTGTCCTACAGATTTAAGACTGACAGTATGTGGGAAAGACAGTGGTCTCAGAGTAGTTTGGCTTTACTCCCAGTGGAGAAATAGAAAGTGGTAGCAGTTCTGAAACAGCACATTTTTACTGCAGACACCCGTAACCTCAGCCTGCTGAGAACAAGGGAACAGGGGAACTACCTTGAAAAGGATAATTCTGTATGAAACTCTTTGTTGAAAAGGGTTAGTTGTCAACTACAAGATTTCAGTGAGATTCATTAGACTAGGAATTCAAAGCCTCTGAATCATTCCAGCATGAAGAACATGTGTGGAAGATGTCTTTCCAGTGGTTCCAATTTTTAATTTTCGTTCAAACAAACTAATTTTCATTCATTAATGTTTGAATCTCTACTTTTTATAGAAAAGTCATCGAAGACTGAAGTATTGAGTTGTCACTAGAGCTTCAATAAAATTGAGGACAGGTTTCTTTCTAGCTAGGTTTTAAATATGTTTTTCAGAAACGTTTTTTTTTAATAATTTGTTTTGAGAAATTCATCTGAAGATTGGTGTCTCTTTTACCATTACCAAAGTTCTCATGAACATGTAGCACTTTGCTTGAATGTTCCTTATAGCTCAGAAACATTTTTTTCAGATTGGCATCTGAAATTCAAATATATATCTATGCACAACTTAAAAATGATTAGTCATATAATTTGATTGGTGTTTTTCTTGTTCCCTGACTGGTATGACTGTTCACAGAAGGCTAAATTTAAATGATCTCTTCCTGAGATGAAAATGTATTTTCTCTGAACATCTGTGCCTGTAAACGAAATGCTCATGAGAAGTGACTATAAATGCCCTGTTCAGATATGCATTTCAAATGTGGCTAAGTCTAGTTCAGTTGAAGATCTGAACCAGAATTTGGTTCTTTTCTCTTTTGGCTGTATTTATTCAATTTCAATAGATCCTAGTAGTAACTTCTGTACCGAGCTGCCTCAATTTCTGGTGCATATGTAAAGCCAGTGAGAAGGTTTCACAGCAGCTAGAGAAGGCTAGAGGTAAGACACTCCTATAGGCAGAAATAGACACCGATAACAAAAAAACAGTTGAAGGAACAGGTGATGATTTCCTATTTAATGATTTTCACAAAAAAAATTTGGATTACCTGTGACTGGGTCAATGTATCATTTGTTAAAATATGATACATTTAACAAATCTATCATTTAACGATGAAGGCTTTAACAAAGGCTCCTAAACCTGCAGAATATGTGACATAGTGATGCCATATGAATTTCTGTGCACAGGGACCCAGGGATCATTTTCCATTGTAGGGGAGAAAAATGTAGAGGATAAAATGCTGATTACCTTATTTGGCAAATTCAGAGGAGTTGCCAGTCTTCTGAAATTCAAAATGACTGTTTCAGTACTCAAAGGCTGATATCTTTAGGTATACAAAGGGAAATAAGGTAGAATACTTTTTATAAATGTCAGTAGCCCAAAGTTGTTCAGGTGGAAACCACCTGAAATATTCGTGAAATAGTTTTGCAGTGTAAGCAGCTCTCTAGTCTAGCTACAATTGCTTTGCGATCTTTCTAGAGGCAATCACCAAATAAAATAGGAATATGTTGATAATGAAAAAGGTGGTATCATATATGTTTCTTTCTCACAAAGAATTTAGTAGTAATAGAAATGTATTAGAGTTTTCCACAATAGTATTTTAATTTTTTTTCAATAGGGAAATTAGTGGTGCCATTTTTCATGTTACGTATTTATTACCTTTTTATTAAGTATTCTGGAAACCGTGCAGTCTTTCACAAACACACATGCACACATACATCCTTCTAACATTTGTAGTCTGATGTGAAAATGCACAGGGCATTTAGCGTAACTGGTATGATGAAGCTCCATTTTAAGGGTGTTTTCATTGTTTTCTGAAAATCCAGGGCACAACAGTGTCTTACATTGAACAAGGAGAACCAGAGGCATCCTGAATCACTGCTAAGGAAAAAGACGGCACAGCTCCAATTTTCCAGCAGATGTAACAGCAGCTTGGAGTTGTAAAAATGTCTTGCAAGATTTTACACACTTTATTGATACACAGAATATGTTTGTGCTGCAAACTTATAGGCAGTAATAAAAGATGCTGAATGTTCTTTATTTGTTTATTTTAACCTGTTCATGAAGTTGACCTTTGTTATCTTTCATAAATAGGGGCCTGGGACGGTTGTTATTAAATACAGCTGGACTTTTAAATATTGCTATACTTTCATGTTTCCAAAAGTACCATTTAAAAGGCCTTCTACGAGATGATTTACCTGGTCTGCAGTAGTTGTGTTTAAGTTTAGATTTCAGTTAGTTATTTAGTTATTCAGTTAGTTAGTTATTGAATGGTTTCATCTTTTCCAACATCTAGTTAATGTTTTGATCCCTTGTGAAGCTGATTTTCTTGGATTAGAGCATTTCCTAAAATCCCTCAAATGTCTTTTATCTTTCCATCTTTTTGGTGACAGCTCTAATGTTAATTCAGCAATGGAAGATTAAGTTATTTATAGATATATACATATGTTTATATTTTTTCCTTTATGCATTGCAAAGGAGTTCTACTCTGCTGATCAAAACTATTTTACAAGAGTTTTTCGAATGCATCGAACCACCTATCTTTTTAATAGGACTCAAGATATTGACCTGGGTTTAACCAGCTGCAGAATACTCCTTCTATTGCAAAGGGCACATATAGGAAGGTTCCATGTTTGTTACCAGCCAGATGTGAAGTTCAGGATGATCTCTCTTATAATGATAAGATAGCAGGCATAATTTACTTTTTGAAGTCCTTAAGTATTCCTGAAAATGTTCCCTCTACTTGCCTGTTGGATAAAATACTTGGTGCATTCTAGCTTTTTAGGCAGACAGACATTTTAACCACCACCAAGCTGTGATAGTCATGGTTGCTTGACAAAACGGAAAAGTAGTGCCACGTTTCAGCTCCATCTCTAAAGATACATTTTTTCCCTTTAATTTTTTTTTCTTTTGCTTTCATCTGAATTTTTCTTTCATTTTGGATGGACTTCAGAATCTTCCAAAAGGTGTATATTCTGGAAATGTTCACCAATATTACATACATTGACAACTGGATTAAAGAAAACTACTGTGATGGTAGTTCATCAATTTGAAAGTAATGGTTTTCTGCTCAGTAAGTGCCAGTTATGGCATATATGTCAACTTTGTACGCATATTTGTTTTATGTTCGTCTACTAAATACCATCTACCACTACCTGTAGTAATGATATATTTGTTAGTGAAAATTAAAAGCTGCAAAGTGTATGCACATATCTGACACATTGCTGGATGCAGAAGGAGATGCTGGTCCTCAAAAATAGTGAATTCTCTTTAAAAAGTTAGGCACAATAAAACTAAGTGATGTACAAAAATTAAATAAATAAAGCTCTTCCCAGTTTTGTCCTGCCTTTCACGTTCTTCTTAATCCTTGACATCATTCCCTTGACATCATCCGTAACTCGCTTCTTTAGCTACTTTAACTGTGCTTTAACTGTGTGTGTGTGAGATAATGAATATGTAAGTGAATGTAAATTTGAATAAATGTGGAAGTGAATACATTTATGTGTATAAACACGTAAATACAGTCCTGTTGCTTACATTGTTCTTAAAATCCAAATCTGAAGCACTGAGCTTTGAGCACAGATGCTGTTTTCAGTAAGATAGTACTTGTCTATTTGAATGTCATGGCAGATGTTTTACCTCGAGGTTAATATCTGACTTGCTTTAAATTCATGTGGGAAATCTGAAAGTTCCATTTCCTATCTCAAAAATCAATAGAAACTTAATCAGAGCTGCTAAAAACAAGTCCCAGTTCTTTTGTAACAGAGAAAGTAAACAAGATACAAAATTAAAAGTGACAGAATATTTTACATGAAGGACATGAAGTACACCACCAACTAAGCTTCAGCTGTACACAGTGTGTGTCTTTCAAGTTGAGGTTTGACTAAAGAAAGCTCCATCTGTTTTGTGTGTGTTTTTTTCTTTTTTTCCTATACCAAGGCACTATAGTGTATTTATGATATTCTTCACATTTTAGTGTAATCTAAACACTTTTTTCTACAGACATGAGCTTTACATCAGACAGCTTGTATGGTTATCTGTAAGGGGTGTTTTTTGGTCAGAATTTGTGCATTTCACACAGAATTCTAATATATGGTTGTTATTCACATTCGTATCTTGAATGCTTTATTTGGTCTTCCTGCTCTTTTTTTTCCTGGGCTTCATATAGGTGAAGTCATGTCTTGTGTTCTAGTCTAAGCTGATTATTTCTGTGTTGTTTTTTTTCCATCTTATTTCATCTGGAAACTCTAATGCTAGAAGAAAGTGTTGTTTGATATTATTTGTGCTGAATCTGAGAGGATGCTGGGGGTATAATTTAATCTCAAGCACTACGGAAAATTAAGACCACTGTGTTCAGTTTTTATTATCTACTCAAACAGCTGATCATTAAGACATTTTGATCTCTACATTCTGCAGCTGGATTCAGTTGGGGTATAAGGAGTTAAAATCATATTCCAGAAGCAAACTTGACTATTCTGTCAAGTAAGATTGCACAGGTAAATAATTGAAGTAAAGGAAATAGTGTAAACCATTGAAGAAACGAAAGTAAAAACAAAATAAGGATTCTTGTTAACACCATCCTTTGTCCTTGTTTTTAGAATTTCAGCAAGTGCAGATAAATTTTGATAGGCACTGTAGTATTTTCTGAAGCAGCCAAACAATTGTAGAACTGCTAACATGTATTTCTGTGTAGTTGAGCCTACTGAAGTTTAATGTTTATTTATTAACCTACATGGTCTCTACCACTGGAGGGTAATACCGTATTTGGCAGCCAACAGAGAGAAAATAAGGTTGGGCAGGGCATAGCTAAGCAGCAAGTAGGAAGAAAATCATGAAAAGATGCTCAATGCAGATAGCTACAAAATGTATATGGTGATAAGGTCTGGAATACTCACAGGGCAAGACATTACTTTAGTACAGGGGACTTCTCCATTTTCTCTGACGTCTCAAAGGCTTATTTATTTTTCTATCACATTTCTTCAGCAGACCAATGTATTTTCAGTTTGTGGATTGTGCAAGCAAAGTGAAACAAAAAAGGGGAGCAAAGGGAGAAGCACAACAACTGCATCAGGCTTTCTCTATGTGATTCACTGATCATTAGTGAATGATCTGATGACTTGAGAAGTCTTTCAACAGCTACACTTTTTTCTTCTTTTTTAGAGAAGTCTTGATAGTCTTGGTAGAAATGATACTCTTAAAATTGTTGTGGATTTGAATGTTCAGTTCAAGCAAAGGAAGCTAGTCATCATACTGGGAGGAAAAACATCACCACAAGCCTCCTATTCCTAAGTGTGTACATTCATCACCGAGAGAGCTTTCCTTGCTTCAGCCTCATTGACTGGAGGTGTCCTAGATGGAATTAGGGATCTGTTCGAACAGCTTACCAGTGAAACTTTCTTCATGTAAATCTACCCTTAAATAGCTCTACATGTGGTCAATAAATCTGGAGTTCATATCAACATCTGAAATCACCATGACTGTACAAGTGATTATCTTTGTTCTACTGGTGGAGTTTTTCTGTGGACACTACACACACATGGCGGCACATAGTGGTAGAAGTATTGTTCTGATCCCAGTCTTATATTCTGTTGCTTGCATCACAAGGAGAAGTTTTTTTGTTTTGTTTTGCTTTGTTTTGTTTTTCCACTTTGACCTTCTGAAATTCCTCTTCTCCTCTTGGCTTGATTTTTGAAGAGAAATATAGCACCTAGGGTGAGCCTATACTAAATCTTGTGTTGCTGCCTCATCTCAGAAAGACATCTTAGTTTTCCTTGGCCAGTGGAAGCAAGGAAAAGGGCAAGTTTATCACAAACATCATAGGGGAAAGAAAGAAAGAAAAAAGGCTTATGTGGGCTTGGGAAAAGTGATGTGCAAGCTGGGGCTAACAGGCAGGAGCAGAAGTTCTGTGTGGTGGAGTTGGATCGTGGCTGTCTTCTAAAAAAACAATGTTGCAAGCAGAGATAGATTTGCTGTCTACTTGCATGTAAAAGAAATTGCATGTTGAATGAATAACCTGGAACAGAGCTCAGAGAGAGCCCAGCTAGAGGAAGAAACCCCAGTTCCATGCTAACATAAAGCAGAATTTTGTTTCTGAGGATGTTTCTGCTCCACCGGGGGCACTAATTCTTTAAGAAGAAGCTAAATCAGGTGCATACAAGAAGAAAAAGTCAAAGGAGGGAGTGGTACTCAGATGGGTGTGAGAGTGAACACTTGTTTCTGTTTTGTGGAACCTGCAGTTTAGGTACTCCAGGTACCTCCTCACTGGGTGGTAGCTGAACAAAGTCATGATTAACAGAGGAACTGCCTTTTGACAAATCTGTTATATTTTAACAACTTCTTCACTATAGAATGTTATTAAAGTACCCGTTGCATTTTCGCAACATTAATTGACCATTACTGATGAAAAGAAAGAATAACAAACACACCTATAAACCCTTCCCAAATTCATATTTTTTCAGGCTATATTTGTGATAGACAAAGGGAATAACAGAAAATATGTTTGTACATTGTGATGGCAGAGAGCCAGGAAAGGCTTGAAGTCACTTTGGCCAACCAGCAACTGGTAGCATGGCCTTTGGAGGCCTGCAGATACCCCTGGTGCCCAATTTGGGGAAGTAGCTACATCCTACCTTCACAACATGTGTTGTTTATTTTTGGTTGTTCTCTGTGTTTATCACAAATCCAGTGAATTTGCTTCAGTAGTCTATCCCCCAAGCTGTGAGGCTTAAAAATGCTTCTTTTTTAGGAACAGCCAAGTGTGTTTGACTTGGTTTTTGAGATTTGTGAGGAAAAATGTCCTCATTGCTCTGCAACAACCAAAATGTTGGCATTATTGCCACTGTTTTCATCAACAGTCCAAAGCAGAGCATCATACAAGCCTCTATGAAGAAAACTAACTCTGTGCCAATCAAAACCATGACGACAACTCATCTCAACCTAGAATAAGCAGGTAAAATAAATCAGATGGTAAAATACATCATCCCTTTATGCTCCCTCCCCATTCATCAGAAGAGAAGCTATGGTCACTCAGCTTATCAGTAGATGTCTACACAGACTGCATGTGCTTCAAATGATGAGGGCTGGTAGGCTTTAATTTGTAGAGGCAAAATTGTTGATGGTGGGAACCTGATATCCAACCTGTATGTATTTCTGAGTTGGCTGGTTGATTTTCAGTTTGGACTACCTTTACTCTAGTGTCACATATTGAAATCCCAGCTGCGGCTGGAGTCCATCCTCCCGTTGGTGCTCTGCGATCAGGCTGAGGCACAGCCAGAGCTCAGTCAGTGGGAGGCCTGGAATACTGGCTTCAAAAGATTATTCCAGATCCAAACTGAAGTACTAGCATTGGTGCTCCCATTGTCGATTGTGTTCCTGAGACTATTTCAAACAAACCTCCTTAAATAGTCAAACATGCATATCTCAAGGCTGTGAGGGGAGAGAGAGGCATGGAAAGAAGAAATGGAGCACCTCATGCAGGGGACTGGTGACACAGCCGAATTCCAGCAGGCACCTTCAGGATCAGTGCTGCTGCTTCAAAAAAAAACCCGCGTAGGTGGATTCAGAACCATGAAGATTTACTTGTTTGAATGTATGCTTTAAACCATTTGTATGATTAAAACAAAGAGTTTGACTTAATTTGTGTCAGATTAAAAAATCCAAAGAAGCCAGGAAAGAGCTTAGTTTGTCAAGTGGGTTTTGTTTTAAAAATAGAAACATTGTCATTGCTATCTTTCTTCTTAAAAACCTCAGAAATTTTAATGAGTATACGAATTAGTAGAGTGAAAAAAGCTGTTAGCATTCTTGTCTCATGACTTAATTTAAAAAGTTCTTTTGCTTTCTTTAAAGTTAAATTTAAGAAAACAGAGCATTAATATGTTAATTAATAAGAAATTCAATAGAGATCTAGAAAGTAAGTAGTTAGACTACTTTTTTCTTTAGTAACTTCGAAGCTCATTAAATGTTCCTAGGAACACATATGCATAGGAAAGAAGTACAGAGGAATCTTCTTAAGATGAGCTTGTGAAGAAACCTGTCTTAAGAGACATTGGTATTCTCAAATGTATTGAGTCTCCTCTTCTTAGAAAATCACATTAATTAAAGAAGTGATTTTGTTTAGTCCTTTGAGTTAATACTTGAGACAGTTCTCTTTGGGTCCTAGAGCTGAGGGGAATATTGACTTTTAGATCAGTGGCTGAGCTAAAAACTTCTTTTAAATAAACACATATTAGTCCGAGATATTTTGCCTTTTTTTTTTTTTCCTTTCACATCAAAATAAATTGCTCAAAAGTGGGCTTGAAATTTCTTATATAGAGATAATTTTATTGACTGAGTAAAGCTTTCATTTTCTTCTCTTTGTTTTTAAAAAATAAATACATTTAATATTGTAAAAAGTTTC